AACATCAAGTAACTCACGGACGCCGCCGAAGTGTGTTTCTTTACACATTCGAAGGTGTCAAAATCGCGTCGTAATGACAAAAAACTGAACGTTTTACATATAAATTTAAACTCTCTTTGTAGTATACATCACTTAGCACCCGTTTAAGTTTGCCCTAGTTCTATTAGAGAAGAGCAGGGGTAAACTGAAGTTATGTAACTAAAAAGGCATATCCAGGGTACCTCGGTGGCCTCTCCCCGCCTCCCAGCGTGACGATATGGTCAGAGTACCAGGCGTTGGGTTGGTACGTCCGCAATCGTGTGCGTGAGTCCTCGAGTGTCGAGGTGGGGGGTGGGGGGCGGCATATAGGACAAGTCTTCGACCTGTTTTCAAATTTGTACATGTTTGGTGTCTGACAGATACAGTATCCGCTTTGTCAGCGACGGCCCGAAATAAATACAAACATACTCGCAACTCACACCTGCCTCGTCCGATGTCCAATCAAATCGGACTACCTAGGCTAAGGATAACGTCTTTTCGTGCCGAAATTTTGAAAAGCCGGCGGCAGACAGACCCGTCTGAACAGTTTCAGCAATTAAGTACACAAAGAATTGATCGCAAGTATATGTCATACATCAATGGAAGCCCCGGTAGTGAAACTTGCATATAAGTTAATTTAGTGCCACTTTATACAACGTAAACAAACATCATACCATTAGAGGGTATCCTATACATGTACCTCTATCTGCTGGGCGCGGTCACGCAGAACAAACTTACTGTCCTCGTTGTGTCGACTGTCGGCACCACTTTGAGCTCGCTAAATCTCCCGTCCCCAGACGTTCGGAAAAACTGGGTCGCTCGTTCCTGGTACTAAACCGAGCGAAACGAGGGGTTATTAAGAACAGCCTCGGCGTTTTGTTAAGGTATCGAACTAATGCCCGATATTTCGGACGATAAATTAATCAATATAGTCTGTTTTGATGTCAAAAAACCGTAAATAATCCGGATAAATAATCGTAATATATGTTGACAATTCGGAGGCATATTCCTTTGTTTCTGGGATATTCTCTCGTAATCGCTTATTATGTGGTCCGGGATGAAAATTTTATTTTAATATGGGTCCGTGAACCCTCGGGAGACTTGTAAACTTCCTGTTTTTTTTTTAATAATTTACCCCGGGTGAAACTTTATTATTTTGTATATCCGACGTGCGGATTTTTGTCATTTCATCCCACCATTCTTAGCCTATTTGGTCGAGCTCACGCCGATCTTAAACTTTATAGTGTTGGCCTTTTTTACTCCGGGCAGAAGGTCTGAAAGAATGTCTCACGGAGGAGGCGTGTGTATGCCTGCGCGTAGTAGTACTCCCGTGCTTCTATCAAACACGTGTCTACCTTGTCTCTACCTTCCGACTCGTCCGTCCATCCCCGGTTCGGGGGGGATTAGGTCAATATGAAATCGCCCGCCGATTTACTAACCAGCACGAAAATCTTGCACACGTCACCAACACCAAGATGGCCGTCACGTTGGTACATTTCACCTCTTTCTTTCAGAATGAGGCGAAAAGTATTAAAAGAGGTGAAAATCACTACAAGTCTGGGCATGTTGAGAGCTGTACACACGAAAAAGGGGAGTTAGTCGGTTCCGTAAGAGCCAGCATGCGGGACCGGCTTTACAAGGTTTCGGTGAGTAACACGAGTGTAACGTTAATGTCAGCTAGCTAACATTAGCTAACAAGGTACACTCTCGTGTTTTGTTTTAGTTGAGAACAAGCAAGAGGTACTATTACTGGTATGATAACAACCTGGTACAAAGCACACAGGCATCTTGTTAAATTAAGTAAGTACAGTAAGTAAATGTATTTTTAGCTATCTGGAGGGAATGCATCAGTTATGACAGCACTTACGTGACTCTGGGATTTGTAGTCTTTCTAGTTGCGTATTTTTCATAGTCTTATATTTCAACAGTTTTAAGACAAACTTTGAATTTTTTGACATGGAAATTATTTTTTAAGATTGACAAACAACATATGTGTAATTCATGGCACAATTCAAACGGGATCAAAAGATAAGTTTTCTCTCTCCATTGACTTCAATGTATTATTTTTTCGGAATAAGGTCCCATGATGCGGAAGTAAGTGGGCGTGACTTCGCTACTCTATTGTTGGGACATATTGCGCTGTCGGGCGTTGACCAATCACGAAGCGTCATTTCTTGACTGGCAGCAAAAACAACCAATCACAGCAGTGCTTCTCTGGCTGGCTCTGTCCAATCATAAACAAGAAGTGTTCTCCCTAAAGGAATACCCTTTCCGTCCAATGTGAAATGCTATGGCGTTTTGTGAAATGCTGTGGTGTTTTCTGAAATGCTGTAGTGTTTTCTGAAATGCTGTGGTGTCTTGCACTTCAGGGCCACCGTACAAGACAGACCTGGACAAAAAGGAAGGCATTAAAAACTGAAGGACAGAAAAAACTACAATTTGTGTCTGTAGGAAAATGTGAGTTTAGTTTTTATAAGCAACAATTTATTGTCCAAAGAACTCTGTAGCTTTCTGAAGTCTGGTTATTCAAGGGGAAGTAACCATGTTTGGTATCAATGTCTCACACCATATCTGGCACCCTGTGCCACAGTCTGGTACACCACAGAAGTGCTGAGTGGGTAGATACCTGTCTATGGTAGATACACTGTTATTTATTGAGAAATAGTACCAACACCTAACTGTTTGTACAGGTTAACGATGACACTTTCGGAATAGCCGGGCTAGCTGTTTACACGTTTCCAGTCTTTATGCTAAGCTAAGATAAGCTAACCACTCCTAGATGTACACATTAAGTAAACAGATGCAAATGTTATCAATCTCCCTATCTTTTAGTCATAAATAACGTTTTTTTATTCTTAAATATCCAGTCCTTTGGGGTGCTTTTCGGTGAAAGCATTGCAGCGTATTTGAGATCTTCTTTTCTGAGACGCCTCCTTTTTCAATGTTCCCTCTCCAGGTGACAGAAGAAGTCCATCGTATCATCACGGACCACTACGACTTTGTCTGCCGGGGCCAGGTCAGTGTGAAGGGCAAAGGTCAGATGCTCACATACTTCCTGGAGGGGCGCAGGCATGGCAGCAAGCCATCTCAAACCAACGCTGAGCGCCGATCCGGCGCGCTCAACCCGGGCAGCGTGTGCACCAGGCTAAGCCCCGCCCCCACCGTCACCACCTACGCCACCACCAGGAACCCGAGCCCCGGCATGGCCAAACCAACCACCTCCACCAGCATCACAAGGTACCTGCCCTCTGTCCCCAAGGCAACGCTGTGATGGATGCTGTCTCCATGGTGATGGTGGAAATACAGAAAAAAAGAGTGGAGGTGGGGAAAAGGGCGAGATAGAATGGAGAGTTTATTAAAAGGAGGAATAAGACCAGCTGACCTCAACTCTTCTTCTACTGTCCGTGGGAGGCAACTCCTACTCTGACCGTCTAATGGGAGGCCTGGATTGCGTTTAGGACTGGAGTCTCGATCAGACTCTCTCTCACTCACTCACTCGAGCCCTGTTTGTTGTCTCACGCCGTGGAGTGTCGTGAACAGGATCCAGGAAGCTTTTTGCCACGTTGCTTTGTGACCAATCAAAGGCCAAGGGTGTCTCCACGATTTCTGAGTCGACTCCCAGAACTGTTTCCACAACTTTAACAATCTAAATAAGGATCAAAATAAAAACAATTGCACAACTGTTAGTGTAGCACGCAAGCCTCTCGCAACGACAAGCACACATTCAAATTCCTTTAACAACTTTAGCTGATCCTTTTCTCTCAGTATCAAACCAAATCAGTGCTGTTGCCTTAGCAAGCACTCCTCACAAAGATTTTCTTGCCATCTTTTCGTTGCCTTTTCGATTGATTTATTGGAAACCAACTCAGATTACTTAATTACAGGGGCATTGTAGTCCAAGAGATATATGTTTTTAAAGTGGATGAAGCCAAATGTATAATTGTAAATGGCAGTTGATAAAGGTATAAACTCGCCAAAATACGACAGGGCATTGCCTTCAATCATTTCCTGGACGTTTGTGCCCCCCCACCTGAAACCTCGGACGGCACATGAGGTAAACTCTTGATTCCCTGAGCCGAGCCGCTCATGGTCTTTAAGTGCATGATGCCACTGCTGCACCTCAGTCCCGTTTTCTGTCTGCTTCCCTGTGATGCTTGACTTCCAGATTCTTCCTCGTCAAAGTGTAGCAATAAAAGCGGTTTGTCTCCTCTCTCAGCCCCTTGCATGTAGCCAGCTGGATCCTAGTTTGACCTAATAGTGTATGTAGCCAATAGAGTGTGCATAGCTAGCCACACCAGTGTGTATCTCCGTGGAGTTGAAGCATGACTTAGAAAAAAACTTTTTTTTTTGTATTGTCCGAGTGGGATTCCTTCCTCAAGGGATTCTATTTAAAAAAAGAAAAACGTTTTTTCTGCGTGCTTTGTATTAAGAAATATTTTCTATTGTTTAAAAAATCCTGTTATAGTATTTTTTATGAATTAAAAAGCTGCTTTGGTCGAGAGAAGAAAACTGCTGTTTATGGGGAGACACCCAAACCTCCGTGTCTGTCCTCCTCATACAAATCCAGATGATTTATTTTATGGAATAGCATGCAACTCACAGTACGGCTTACCATAGCCATTAACTATCCTTTAATCTGTTCTAGCATGCACTGCCTGCCAGCCTGTGGCTCTTACATGCATGCTTTGATGGAACATTCATACAGGCCGAGCAGCGGACACAGTGACTCTGTTTAATGTAGTCCTCATGCATGCGCTAACGGTAGCCGTCCTCTTGAATGTAAGGTGCTTTTTTTGACCCGTGTCTTCTTCATGAACTTAGTGTGCGGAACCTTCTTCAAGGACTTTTTCAGGGCGGTTTGACATCAGGACGGGGGTCCCTCCTCCTCCTCCTCCTCCTCCTCCCCGCTCCTGCTGTAGTCAACAGGTAGCTGGTTTTCAAATGTGCCAACCTATTTTCATAAACATATCAAAGTTTTTTGGTGTTGAGCTGTAGCACAACTGAATGTGTGGCTACGGATATTGTCGATTTCCTTCTGTTGAACGCCTGTATTTTTACAGCTGTTCTTGAACAGTTTTGTAACTCAAATGATAGAAAGAGTCGATTTTTGGGGGGATTTATTCAACACCGTAACCTGAACTGAAATGATGTTGTTGTACTATTTATCATATTTTAAATAGATTTACTATATAGTAGCTTAAACGCTTATTTTGAGTTTTTAAAGAGGTTAAAAATGAGGATTTTTATACACTTGCTTTACAAAGTTGATGGAAAGGAGTTGTGTACAATATTTTTCCTGTAAATTGGATATTTTCATACTGTATGATACGGGTTTCAATTGTTATATGTAGGTATTACTTGTTATTATTGTACATTGTAGAGTCTTTTTCAGAGATATACTATGAATGACCCGATATTTGTCAAGTTATTTTGTTGAAGATGTATTTATTGAGATGTTTTATGTGAATGTAAATTTTGTTAAAGATGATATTTTATACTAAGTGTTTGCACTGCGATGATATTGACGTATTATGATTACAAAAATAAATCCAGCGGGGGATGTGTCTCCTAGAGTAAAAATCCCTCTTTCTATGCTTGTTAACACACACACACACACACACACACACACACACACACACACACACACACACACACACACACACACACACACACACACACACACACACACACAATGCATACCGCATACCGAGAGGCCATCAAACTTGGTTATGTAGTTACATAACGGTGAAAAACAGAGGGGCTGATGTAAGTTTGGAGCAACACCGGGGTCAATGTCAACTTGTTGTTGGAGAAGCCTCCTGCTGGTGTTGTGAACATGTCTGCTAACAGAAAAACTAGACAGCATGAAGGCAGAGTGTGTGTGTGTGTGTGTGTGTGTGTGTGTGTGTGTGTGTGTGTGTGTGTGTGTGTGTGTGAAGATACTGTACGACACATGTAGATAAAAAGACTACCACTTCTGCTGGTTAGTGCTAGTAAAGGTTGAGTTTGGGAAAATGTGTTTATTTTGAGTAATTCAACTTGAATTAATAATTTGGTTAATATCATTTAGGTTAATGGCACAATTCAAAGCAATGTTATTGTTTTTCACAAAAAATAACCAAAATGTTACCAAAATAGGGGGGGGGGAATGTAATAAATAGTTAGCTACAATACAGTGAACAAGATAAAAGTGACATGGTACAAAAATGCAAGTTTATAAAAATGTGTTTTTTGGAAGAGATTTAAGAAAAGTCCTTTGAGAACGCATTTCATCAATTGAGTGTACAAAATATGAGAAATGTGTTTTTTTTGTAAAATCAACTTTTCTAAAGAACCAAGTTGATGTACTCAAGTTTGACGTAAAATGTCATAAAACAAAACTAAAACACCAGCTGTTGGACATTTGCTTGCTTGGCAAAATAAATACACATTACCACGCACCTCACAAATGAACGTTTATGGTCTCTACTCCACTATAAATTAAAGTTTTAAAAGTTTAAGCAAAGCTTGACCAAACAACATCAGATTATTAAGAGTCCAACAGTCAGTAGAGTTTATGATTGACCGTTACAGCACCAAAACAGATTTCCAGTTAAGTAGGTCAACTACTGTAGCCTTTTTTCCTATCAAACAATTTGACACTAAACAGTAGAAAAAGCACAGGTGCAATCAGTTACGTTAATCATGGCTGCGGTTGGCTCATCAGAATGTAATAAATCATACCTGTTGATTTCCTGCTCTTAACCCTGGTTAATTAAGGTCGCCCGTCACATAGAATAAAATAGAATAGAATAGAATCGGAGGGATGGAGCACACAGCAAAATTTGGCCTCTGCATTTAACCCATCCTAGTACCAGGAGTACTAGGAGCAGTGGACATCAGTGTAAGTGCCTGAGTGTGTGAGAGGAACAGCACATTGTGACATTTCAAACTGGTTAGAGACATTTGAGTTAACAGTATTTTTGCTTTATAATGTTTGGTTTGCAAAAGGTTTTACAGTCATCACTATTTAAACTTTCTCACGCAATGTGGGTTATTCCCTTGAGCAAAGCCTGAAGAGCATAAATTGCTCAAAACTTTAAACAGAAAACGCTTGCAACAGTCTTCAAACATCATGTATGCAAATGGGGAGTTGGAATCAAATACAATTTCAAATGGTCACACGTGCCCACACTATTTCCCTTTAATCACAGTAGTGGGTAGCTAATAAATCAGCCGAGTTCCTGCAGACTGAGCTACTATCATACTGTAAACTTCAAAGACCTAAGGGTGGAAATAAGAACTAAGCTAGTATCTGCCTGATTTAGCCCTTTGGATAGTCATAAAAGGCATAGATTCATTTTAATGCAGAACTACCTTAAACTTTTCTTCCGGGGGCAACTCCTCTGGTTGTTAAAAGATTGTACAAAAACAAGTCCTTGGTTTTAAATCACTTTAACTTAGATATGGTATCTGGGAATGAGAACCTCCGGGTGCGTAGCTTGAGGCCATTGAGCCCAAAAATACTTTTTCTCATGGACTTTCTTTGGGAACACTTGCAATGTTTAAGGGCAAGTACAATTTATGGACCAATGACTACGTGACTGTAGCCAATTCCTTCCAAAACAACTTCTGATCTGTTATGCTCAGGTTAATTTAGTTAAAAGGAACAATGACTGTTGATTAAAAAACAGGAACAAAAGCTGAACCTTCTGGTAAAAACAGGTCATTATTTTATTTCTCTGATTAGTCTTTTTATATGCACTGGAGGAGTCAAGAGTGTGAGAAATGTGTCAGTATCTCAGTGTGTTATACATATTTCGGTCTCACTTCACCCCCAACAAAGGAATCTAACAAACAAACGGGGGTTTTTAAAAGGAAAAAGAAAGCAAAACAAACGTGAAGTCTTATCATTGTGTCTGTTTTGTGTCTCGCTGAGTGCGAAGGGATGTTTCAAGTCCTGTAGCAGGAAGAATCGACTTCCAATCAGTGATGTTAAACTGTTTGTGTGGTTGTTTGCTGCTGGTGTGTGTATAGCAAAGCAGCTGGAAGTGCTGTGGCATGTGGAGCATCCTGATTGACAGGTTGTCATGGCAACACAACAAGATCTTGCCCTGACACGAAACCACGGGGTTGTGTTTTTCAACCTATGTTTTCAACAAGTAAATTATAAACCAGTCGGCCTCCTTCATGTTCATCTAATAGCTTTGTGATTCATGTTGTGTGCAATCACTTCAGAGGATGTCCATTTACAGCCTGTGTGTGTGTGTGTGTGTGTGTGTGTGTGTGTGTGTGTGTGTGTGTGTGTGTGTGTGTGTGTGTGTGTGTGTGTTTACCACCTGCTGGATTTTACGATATAATCAAACACGCCCGGTCCAGAAGTGACAACGTAAACACTCACACACACTAGATAAGCGAGCGGAAGGGGGCCTGTTCAGGCCTTGTTTTTAGCTGTGTTGCAGCCCATCAGCAGCTTGAGTCAGGGGCTGACGAGTGGAGTTTGGGGTAGTGACGCAGCCAATTGACCGGGGGGTTAGCGATAGTATTTCTGCCCCCGCTCCTCCCACGCACTGCTTACCCAATGATCCTGTGTGTCATAACATCCCTTACTGTAAACCCTACTGGAATTTGGACACTTGAGCGTAGGAGGAAAAACACAACCCCACTGCGTAAGTGTGTGTTCATTTGTCAGTTGCACGCCTGTCTGTTGTTCTCTGTTTGTATTCATTTTTAAGTGCATTTTTGTTTGTGAGTGAGGCCAAAGAAGTGGTAAACTTTCAGCTGAACATCAAACACGTGTTAAGTCTGCAGCATAAAGTTGAGAGCAAACATGACTCTCTCATGGTGAAAATAAAGAAGCCCTGCTCTCCTGGTCCCCGAACTGGTTGTCAAAGCATGCCTGCCACTCAAAATAAGCTTTTTGGTACCAAACCAGAAAATCTTTATGAAATTGAAAAGTTGTAACGGCTATATAAATTAATAATTTTTATTGGTTACTGTAGCTCTCATTTTTATTCTATTCAAAATTCAAACTTCCATTCAAACATGCATCAATGTTAAATATTCAATATGTGAGAACACCATTCTGTGCACGATTTAAAAAATATATCATATGTCTGACCTACTGCATGCCCTATTATTCATACTAGGCTTTATGTTGGTGTCTTCACTACATGAATGAATCATGGCAAAAGGAACGTATTTTTTTTACTGTAAAATACAGCAGAGACTTGTGTCTTTCAATCGTTAGTGGAGGCACCATAAATGAACAGAAACGTGTTTGTTCTGACTGGTTTGTTAACATTTTTAGACAGTGACACCTTAAGTCTTTCACAAACACTCTTGAAACAAAATTACTTTCAAAATCAAGTCAAAAGCATCTG